AATGTGACTGACCTGGATAAAACTATGAACAACTCTATTAAAGGCGTTTTCAGTTATTTACAAATTCTCAAAATGTGGATTCTAAGCTTTCAAATGAGAGGAAAATCAAAAAGGCTCTTTTCACTACAGGTGTTGTGTTTACTAATAAGATTTATGGCTATTTGTAATTTAGAAGCATAAATAAAGTTATGTTAGCTGTCAGCCAGTAGGGGCGGAGTTCTGCTCCCCGCCTCAACCTGCATGCAGCTTTCTGAATCCCCGTGTATTGTAATATTGTTCAAAAACAAAAGTTTTGCAACTCACCCCTGAGAAATTCTCAACCGGTATCTTCAGGCTTTCTTTTTAGTTGTTATTTTCAAACACAATTCTCTGGTAAGCTAACAATAGCGTTAGCGGTACTTGGTGCTCCCTCTTCTTCTTCTTTTCTTTAATGGCGGACCGCCAGGTACATAATGCCACCTGTTGTACTATGGAGAAACACGACTTCCCACCCATTAAATTCTATTTTTAAATTTTTAATGATGAAGATAAATTAATAAGTAACACTATATATATCTTCTATGTTTCCTTCAGTTCACAAAATTCCTCAAAGACTCCATTCCTGTCCAATTCTTCTCAGCGTCGCACTTTGTGCTAACTCAACGTCACGATTGTTTACGTGCAGTACCTCGCGGACCACTAAGGGGCGCCCGCGGACCACCAGCTTGAGACAGACAGGAACATTTGGAAAAGTAGCTGCAGTTCTAAATCTCTGCGCGCAGTTTTATTCCCATGACCTACAGATCTTGACTGTATGACTTTAGTGTCTGGTCTCCTCAGCAGGCTGATAAAAAATAAAAATTATGCATTAAATTTCTACCTTCCATTATTAGTTATTTAGATTTCTATATAAATAAATCTTGATAGTTAACCTGTGCAGATTTTTTTTTTATTTACATTTTTTGCACATCTCATTTAACTTAAGTGTTAATGTTTCTAGCAATTATTCCTGCTATCCCCCAAACACACATTCATACACATACAGAGGTGTGTGTGTTCATTTATTATTTAACATTATTGTTGCTCATTATAGATTCAGATTGTTGCTTTTCATTCAAATATTTACTTGTTTAAGTGTTTGCTTGTTTAAATATATAAAATTGATATCATTAAAGTATATATTTTTTTCATTTATCCAACTTACTACAATAAACCTGGGGGGAAAGCATTTTACGTTTTTGATGCTTTTAAATTGTTGCTTAAATGATATTTTTCCACGTTTTAAAAAGTGTAATATGATCTATTACTGACAGTGTTGAAGGCTCATATGTTTGCACATTTCCCTCCCCTCCGGCTCCTCTGCTCAGGGTTCCTGGTTTTCCTGCCAGGTTGTGATCTGCGGAGGATTATTGTCGCGGAATGAATTACAGATCCACTGTGTTTGTTTTCCTCCGGCTCAGGTGAAGCCCGTCGCTTCCTGATCCAGTGTTGACACAGATCTCTCATCTCCAGCACAAACACGTCTGGATTTGTCAGGTTCAGTCATGAAAACCTCTGCAGCTGAGCTCTGCTTGTCTTTCATAATCATATTTTAATTTAAAACTCACCGATTCTCCTGTCAGCAGCAGCAGCAGGGGAGCAGAGCGGGGAAGCGATGAGGAGGAGGAGAAGGAGGATGGAGGAAGGCAGGGAATCCATTTCTCGGCTGGTTTAGTTTTCTCCGGTTTATTAAAAGGCCATCAGGTTTCAGCGGGGTCTGCTGCGTCTCTCCTGCCGTCCAGAGCGGCGCCTCCCCGGCTGGAGGAGGCGGATGGATGCTGGGGGAGAGCAGAGAGGATGCAGGGCGTTTCTGCTGCTGGAGACTCGGCCGCTCACAGCATCATCATCACGGACGCGCTTCCGGCTGGAACCTTTCACAATAAACCTCCCGCTCCTAGAATGTTCTGCTCCATAACAAGTGTATTTTCTAATAGTTTAAAAAGAAGAATGATGAGACTTTTAAATCGTTTCTGTAGACTTTGTTTCCAAACATCGATGCATGAATTGGAAAAAAAAACAAAACTTGATTATTCATTGTTTCTTTTCAGTTCTTTATTCAAAAACTCATGGCAGATTTATTGGACATATGGCTTGCATATATTTCATTTGCACATTTCTAAGCAAATCATAACTCAAGAAGCATTGCATCATATGCTCCTTTTGACTGGGATAGTGAGGATTTAAAGCTGATGTGAGATCAGTTGTAATCCGGTTTGTGGGTGTCAATCCTTCCTGCATTCAAGTCTCCAACACATCTAAACCCACACTGTAACAAATTGCTGTAAAAAAACGGCCACAACTGAACAGTATCATACTGTTTCTATTGAAAAGGGTACTGCACCGTGAAAAACAATGCATTCTGGGCAATTATTACTGTTTTTAATAAAATACTGAGTAGCATTGCATTTTGGGAATGATTTTAGATTCAACGGTAAGGAGGCTGTCTTTAAACAGAACGCTACTGTATTTCTGAAGAAGACATGTTGTGACATGTGAAAACAACCTCTAGAACTTTCTTTACAAGGACTATCCAATCCTAAGGTAAGTTATTTTTGATTATTCATATTTACAAATATGACATGTTTGGAAGCTCTTTCTCTTTCTTTTGTGTAACTTGACTTGAATTGCTATGATTAGCTGCTAAAGTGAAATTGGTGAATGGATATCAACTGGGAATTTGGAGTTTCACAGAGTTGACTTGGCAGAAAACTGTTTAAATGTTATGCTGGTGTCTCTTTATTAACTCTTAATTCAGTTTTGTCTTCATCTAGCACACATTAAACCCTGACTCCTTAAGCATCATATGCTAATTAGAAATTACCCGGACCAAGGCCAGCTGTAGCAAGATCATCTCCAAGAGGACAGGGAAAACTTTTCAAAAGAAGTCGGTCACTGTCATCCCCCGTGTTTCAACTCTGCTGAAAAACCTCATGGACTTTGAGTGGAATTTCATAGTGAGAACTTTCTAACCAAGCTATAGATATTTGTTGCCCCTCCACGCAAAAACAAACAAACAAAAACTATACAGGCATGAAGGCAACTTATCCCTGAACAGGAGTGATCTTGAGAGATTTTTTTGGTTGAAAGGTCAGCATAATCTTAAGACATCTCTTTTAATTAAGAGCATACATTTTGTTGAGGCTTCCACTTTCTGTTCTTCAGATGTAATTTTGACTGTACAGGCACCATGTTCAACTTATCTTGGCAGTGTGTTGTTTAATATTGTTTCACTGTTTTATATTTTGAAGTTGGAGCTCTGATTTTGACCTAAAGGAAATTCAAGTCTAAATGTTTCATTTAAATTTTTATCAAACTAAAATTTGCCATTTTTTTCTGTGCTTTAGATTGAAAGTTAAATGTTTCATTTGTTTTATGTTGCATCATATTGTTCCTCACTTCCACACAAAGTCATATTTTGTATTGAAAAAGTAGTGTGCTGAGTTGTACAATGCATTATTTCCATAATTTATTTCATACTTATTTTATTTCAGACTAATCAAAAGGCCACAATTCATGCTTTATTCAAATACAACTTACTTTGGACAGTTTACCCTCAACATTCTTGTAGAAAAGGTTTAGGTTTAAGGCACACATACGTTGTCGTTTCAAAACCTTCGTCTTTATTATGTGGTCCACTAAAGACTGTATGAGTCAATGTTTGAGTTGTTTTGACCTTTGGACCAATGTTTGAGTTCTTTTTTTTCCCAAATAAATGTTTGACATGATGGAACTTACATTTTCTAAGTGTTTTTTTTTTCATGTTTCTATTTTATATTGGAAATTTACAGTAGTAAGCTGTATGTGAATTCAACAGTAATGGTACCATAGAAAAACGGTAATATACTGGCAACACAGCTGCCAGTAGTCTACTGTAAATCTGATAAAAACAGCAATGTGCTGTAATCAAAAGATTTCTTTTGTGACAGTAATATACTGTAAAGTTGATTACAGTAAGGGTAATGTATAATTAACAGTATAATGCTGGCAACCCTGCTGCCAGCATTTTACTGTAAAAATACAGGGCAATTTGTTACAGTGCAGTGACTGATATACTGTTTCTAAAACCTCATTAAATTCAGTTGCGTTGAAGCAGAATAACACCTAAAACATCAAGGACACAACCTTAAAATTTTAGATGATTTTTGTAAAATTTCTTTCATGATGTCACAAATTTAACCGGTGAGTTTTAAATGTTTTTCATCCAAAGGTGCACCTCCAGTTATCACAGGTTTTGCAAAATACACAGAATTTTGCAAAGTCTTGATATTATGCAGACTGGACTGACTGGCAGAGGGAATAAAAATAGTGAAAAAAAATTATCCCTCTTTAATTAAACTATCCTTTAACAAATAGAATTAACTTTTGTCCTTTTACAGGAAAAAGATGAACCAGATTTACTGTCTTTTTCCATTTTGAATGTAAAAACCTGTTTTTCCTGATTAAAATAGCTTTGTACATATGATGTTAAAAATTAAACTGGTCTTGCCTCAATGTAGCTGTTCATATTTCAAAATGAAAAACACTTTGAAGATGACACACATTATGTTGCAATGTGTGAAGAAATGTCAAGGAAAGTGAAGATCAGCTCAATGGGAGGAAACGGTTTCCTTGTTGCTTAAATATTGAGCAACGTTTCTGCAGAAACAGGAACAGAAATCAACTCAAAATCCTGGAATCGCATCTGAATATGGATGAATGTAACTTTGTAAGAGCACAGTTGATAAATATTTGCTGCAAAATTATGCTTATATACTTCATTAAATAAAATGCCTTTTAGACTAACAACTTTAATTCTGTCAATCTATCAGGAAGCCTCAAATGCACAATTTGTACAAAGATTCTAAGAAGAATAAAAAAATTTAATAAAAATAAGAATATAACGCTTCCATTAAAAAAAATGAATACACTGGACTTTCACTGCTGCCCACGCCCTGACAACCTCCTGACTCCACTTATCAGAAATGCACTTTGCAGAAATGAGGGCCGATGTTGATCAGTGACTCATCCAAACAGATTTTGGATCAGCAGAAGGGGCGGACCAGAACCAGAACCAGTTTCAGGGGAAAAGACAGTAAAGCTTTAATTCTGTCCAGGACCTCCAGGATGAAGAAAACATTCAGGCTTCTGGTGGTTTTGGTTCCACTGCTGGTTTCTGTGGAGCGCTCAGGTAAGTCCAAATAGAAATGCATTCAGCCAGAGTTTCAGCTTAGCATGACAAAAAGACAAAACGGATGAAGAAATCTGTGGAGCTCAATAACTTTTCAAAACTGTGCAAAACTTTCTCCTCCGAGTTTGTTTTTCTGCTGCTGAGTAAAAATGATTTTAGACAGAACAGCCACAGAAAGAGTGAAATCTGTTGAGTGTTGTTAAAGGTTACACACAAAAGAGCTCACAAAAATTCATCTTGTGAATACAAAACATACAAAGAAAATTTTAAATTAACAGTAACATGTACATAAAAATACAATTAAAGTAATAGTAACATATTGCTTTCTATAACCTACAATCTGAGTGAAGAACCACAATAAAAATGCACTCCTAGTTTTCTTATGTTTCTATCCTCTGATATTTGATTTAATGAAACGCAAATGCTATATTTTATAATCAATAAGATTATATTGTAAACGCCAATTGTAATAGTGTTATACAAGAAAACAGCTGTTTTGCTGTTAGGTATCAAATAAAAGCAAACTTCCACAGATTCATGTTTGCTCGTTCAAAGGTTTGCATAAAAATTACGTAATGTTTCAGAGGGAGCTTGACAAAGTTTCTCCCGTGTTGAAATCCTGGGTTCTCCTCTGATGGACATGTCATGACAAAAACAGGCCTGAAAGTAAAGACTCAAAATTCTGCAGAAACTGACTCTGCAGAATTATACTGATGGATCAGAAACTTTGAGTCAACAAATGTTACGTTGAAGAGAGTATGTGACCATTAATAATAAAATGTTTTGTCCCAGTCTTCTTTCAATGAATAAATATGTTTCTGTGTGTGTGTGTGCAGAGAGTGTGCGGTGTTTCGGTGTTTTTGACCTGACCACTGGTGAGTGTAGTGAAGATTTGGGCGAAGTGGACCATGATGATTGCTGTCAGAACTCCCAATACGGCTACAAAGCAGAAGGCGGATCATGTCGCTCCTGTGGGTAAGCGTACGCACAGAGTCCATCTACCTCGTTTCCACTGAGCGGGTTGGAACAGGCAACTCCAGTAGCTCCACCCCAACCGTACTGAACGATTGACTGATGGATCTACAGCTGAAGAAAGCCCAGAACTGGTGCTCTAGGGATCTTTCCTCAGATGTGAACCGTCAGTCTGAGGAAAGACTGAAAGAAAAACTGTCTGTATTATTCTGTAGTACAGTTAAAGTCGGCTTTCTGTCACCTGATGAACAGTTCCAGGATTAAAGAACTAAAATCCTGTAGCTCAGAGAACAGACTGTAAAATGCTGTCATTAGTTTAGAAATCACTGAACGGCTTAGCACTACAATACATTAAAGATTCTGCACTCCCAGAACCAGGACCAAACCTGGAGAAGCAGCATTCGTTTCTATGTATCACAAATCTGGATCAAACTTCCATAAAACTGCACTTATCCTGAAACCAAACACTTGTTTAAAAATTTTTTTAAAATTGTGGTTCCAGTCCAGCCACATGGTCTCCCTGGACGTCTTGGTCATTCTGCAATGTTCTGTGTGGAGAGGGCGTGAGACAGAGAAGCAGGAAGTGTCATGGCATTGGAGAACCAGAGTGTGACAACCCTCAGGACACACTGCAGACAGAAGTGTGCAGCGGCAGCTGCTGCAACGGTATATAAATGCTCAAACGTTAGATGAGAAATACTTAAAGACACTACGCCTTGATTCCTTAATGCACTATTTATCATGTCTTTTGAGTTAGATAAGGGCTGGGGCTTGTGGACCCCCTGGACTCCATGCTCAGTCACCTGTGGAGGAACAGGAACCCGAACAAGAAAGAGAGTCTGCTCCAGTCCTCCTGAATGTCGCTTGGCATGCACTGGCCCTGAAGAAGAGAAAGAGTCATGTGAGGCCAGCAACAAGTGTCCAGGTGAGGTTGGCTCTATTTTCAGCTCTAAGACAATGCCAGGCTTGTTGTAATGTTCAGATAAATTAAAACGTGAAAGGTCCAGGAAACCCAACCCAGATATCTATATCAATGGACCCCAATCCTGGTCCTCCAGGTCCTACGTGATTTCACTGCTACACAAACTGGAGAACTAGGGTCGGTAACAATGGATCCAAAGAGTTTATGCAACAAGATCAGGATTTATTCTACCTTTTAAGTTAATTAAATGTCATCACAGTCTCTGTGTTCTTTTTTATGGTTCAGTCCATGGAAGTTGGTCGAGTTGGGGAGCTTGGTCACAGTGCTCTGGCTCATGTATCACTGACCAAAACATGCCCACCAGAGAACGACGGCGCACCTGCTCCAACCCAGCCCCCTCTACTGACACGGTACCACCAGGCAACAACTGTCCCGGCGATGCTGTTGAGACGCAGGACTGCAGTGAGATCCCTAATTGTCCAGGTAAGAAGGGAAGCTCACTGATGACCTGACCTCTTACATAGCAATAGGAGAACTAGGGACTCCTAGGAAGCAGTAAGCTAAGATTGACTTTTTCTTCAGTGGATGGCAACTGGGGGTCCTGGTTTCCACCTGTCCCGTGCTCTGTCTCTTGTGGAGAGGGTCTGCAGCTGTCATTGAGGCGGTGTGACAACCCAAGCCCTAAATATGGTGGCAAATATTGTGAGGGGCCAAGCACCCGGAGCAGTGTCTGCAATAGTCCCTGTCCTGGTAAGCCACAAACATGCACTCTATTAAATCTATAGCACTCAAATGCAAACCTGACGTGAATATCATTGTCTTTCAGTCCATGGAGTCTGGTCTGGTTGGTCAATCTGGGGTAAATGTTCATCTTCCTGTATCCCACCTGACAGAGCTTCATTGAGGACTCGCCATCGATCTTGTTCTAACCCCGCCCCATCGTTAAACCCACCTGGTAATGGATGCCAGGGTGACAACTCCCAAACAGAACCTTGCAACCACCTACCTCGTTGCCAAGGTATTCCTGCACGCCTCTATAAATACAACCTCTAAAATGTACCCAACATCCACAGGTGAACTGACAGAGCTCATCCCAACCGCCAGTTGATCAACCAAAAAGTTCCCTACCTGGAACTTGAGTGTTCATCTGGCGCACTCATAGGTTTCTCACGGCCAGCCAGCCTCAGATCAAAAATACTTTTTATGTTAAATAGTCCCTCTAAATGGAGTTTCTGCATGCATGGATGGACATTTAATCCATGCATGTCCCCAAGCTGCCATTTAACAGGCAACTTCTTTAATCAATCAATCAACTGATTGATTGAACTTCTTTAGGGTTTTGTCCAAAGCCAACTGAAAATAAACACCAGTCTCCCAATGACCCTGTAACAAATGGATGAATAGGATGTTTATAGCACTGAGGTTTTAAATTAAACTCCAGAGCCCTCATTGGTCCACACAGAGACAATTAAGAATATATGATTCCCATTTATAAATCTCTCTTTTTTCAGTGCATGGCAACTGGGGTCCCTGGTCAGCCTTCACTCCATGCCCTGTTACATGTGGTGTGGCTCTTCAGGTCTCGGAGAGGAGATGCAACAACCCTGCTCCCAATCATGGTGGCCGTCCATGTCCTGGAATCAATAAGCGAACCAAACTTTGCTCAACACAAGTCCACTGCCCAGGTACAGCAGGTTCAAGGACTGCAGATTCATTTTGTTGTTTATCTAGATTGTTTCTCACATTTCTGGTGTCACTCATGATCCGTCTGAAATTAAGCAGATTAATAATTGCTTGACTTTTGATGTTTTTCTCTTCAAATTGACCTGAACAAATATAAATCTCTGAGAATTTTAAAGAGTAGTGCCTCAAGGCTGGCCTGTTCAGGACTCAACATCCAAACACATCACGACACCAAATATTGAAAAAAAATTAAAATATCAATTATCAGTATAAAATTGTGTTGGTTTACAGTGGATGGCGTGTGGGCCGAGTGGTCCGCCTGGAGTGACTGTATGTCTGCATGGGGAAAAGAAAGAGACATCCGGTGCAAGAAAGAAGGTGGCAAGCAGACTCGAAACCGCAGGTGCCTACATCGAGCTCACAACGGCTCCATCTGCACCGACGGAAAGTTGACAGACATTCAGGTCTGCTACAACGTCCAAAGCTGCTTCGGTGAGTGCAGACGTCTTTCAACCCTTTCCTGCCTTTTCCTAGTAGACGCAGCTCCTCTTCGGAACTGCAGTGTTTAAGTTTCCACAACTCCCCACTTAGCTCCTTCAGACTAGCCAGCAGTAATTATCATACCCTGGTGAGACTGCGCTGCAGAAAAGTTCATAATGCTGGTTGAAAAAAATAATAATAAAAAGTTAAAAGATGAAGTCTTTCAAAGGAAGCAATGTTGTAATGACCTCCTGAAGGTGGGGGTTCAGAAAGAGCTGGAGTTTTTAAAGCGACAGAGTCTCAATTTCAAAGCATTAAATTAAAAGTCACATTTGAAATCCACAGCATTTATTTAAGAACTGAACTTACCATTTACTTGACTGTGCTATATAATGGCACTATATGTCTGGAACATACATAACACTGTCCCTTTAAGTTTCTGGAACAGCTTTACAAACTAACATTGTGTGCTACAGTAAAAGGAACCTGGGAGGGCTGGGAGCCTTGGAGTTTATGTAAGCCGGCCTGCGGACCCTCGTCTAAACGTACGAGGTTAAGAATCTGTAAACCTGACTACACCGGGTACAGGTATGTTTTAAATCCACAAGCCAATATTAATACATTAGAAGTCTAGATTCCTTGTAAACAGGTTTTACTAAAAAGTAAAAAATGTGTTTTCAGTGAAACAATTGGTAATCAGAATGGAATAGCACATTTCCATGGAAAGCCAAGGGCCCTCTGTGTGCTTCTTGACGGAGAGAAGAAGGATGAAAGTCAAGACTGCCTTCATGTCCCTCCATGCTCCTAACAACGCCTTAGCCGTCAACTTCAATAATGTCAAAGCTTGCTTTATTGGTGACATATCTGCAGAAACTGCATTTTAAAATTTGTTGTTTTCTACTAAAACTTTTTACTCCGCAAGATGGGTAAATTTGTTGCCTCGCTTTTTGTGATTTTTATCTTTACACACCCAAATCAGATTCTGTATTATTGTAATAGCTTTAAAAGAATTAGAATAAAAAGGAAATGAGTATGAATTTGACTGTAAAACATGCTGTTTCTTCTGCTTCTGAAATAGTAATTCTGCTTTTTCTTTCACAGTTTCTTAAAGTTTTGGGTCAAAGTCCTCAGTTGTTTGTGGCCCTACATACTATGATATTCTAATGAAAACAAAACAAAATAAACAAACCTGGCTAATAAAAAGGAAAAAACATTCATTTAATATCGTTTTTTTGGCAATTTGATTCCTAAAAGAATTACAAAGTCCATCTCCATCAGCTCCAATTGCTTTAAAAAAAAACAAGAACAAAGTGCATAAGAAGGTGAAGAACAGGGCTATTTATAAATAAACAAAATAAAGACATAGCAAGCAACACAGAAAAAGAACAGGGAGAAAAAGATAAGAAAATCAAACTAAACTCATTGGTGCTTTACAAACTGAACTTTTACACAATCACTTCTGAAACAAATATTAAAAAAACACAACAGACATACCAGCTGTGTGCTTCTGTCAGCTTAAAGCTCTTTATTCAGTTTGAAAGACGTCAAAGAGACATTCAGACACATGTAGCATCCGGCTGCCTCTTTCCCAACACGTATGCATACAGTATCATCTCTGGGTCACGTGTTTCGTAAGGCACAAGATAAATTAAAAAGATGGAGGAGAAGGACCACCTTTAGAAGACAACATCAGCCTCAGAGGCCTCGAGGAGAACGTAACGCTTCTTACAAAAGAGAACAGAACAAAGGTGAAACAGATGGAAAAGACACAAAACTATTCATATACACATTTAAAATACTTTCTCAATGCTTGATGTAAACGCAACATGCAGAAAACGACAAGTTTTAGGTGTTCAGAAGGTCAAAGGTCAACCTCACACCCTGGTTGTCAACAGAAAGCCGCTGCTTCTGTAGTGTCAAACAGCAGCAGCAGCAGCAGCGGATTTATCTAAAGCGTTTCATACCAAAACCGACATTATGCTGCTGCTCATACTATTCCCTTATGAAGCAGAGCGGTAAAATAAAAGCACTGCTCAATATAAGGTATATTATCTTAGAAAAAATAATAATTAAATCCTTTTAAATACGTGAAACATAAAAAGTTAAGACTGAATGTTTCTATAGACAGAAAGTGAACAAATCAAACTACTGACAACAGTGCTTATGGTAAAGTAAGTGACAACCAGGCCTGCTGTGAGTGTTATAAATGTTAAAATGGTTCCAAATTTAGACATTTTATGTTTTTAAAGCCACTATGTGTAGATTTAGTCAGGAATGAAAACGTCAAGTAAATCTTCCAAAAAGTCTCCATCATGTTTTCAGTCCAAATTAACTGGTTTTGCTCTGAAAGCAGGAGTGGAACAGAATCGGAGGTCAGAGCAGCATGAACCTCATGGGCAACATGCTGCTGCGCACTGCAGGTCAGACGGATGAAAAAAGCAACACGGCAATAAAATAAATAAAATGGAGAATTATGAGTTGAGTTTTTTCACCTGTGTTTAAATGCAAAAACATGAAACGGGAGCGGCCATAAGCCTAAATTAACCCTTTAATCCCAGGTGCATCTTTATGAGTGGTGGTTTTTGGTGCATTAACATTCACAGCGTTACAGCGCCACCTGCAGGCGTGGCATGCAGTGGTTATTACGGTGTTTTGAATGAGCCAGGTGTTTTCATGTAGATCAAAACAAAGTGATGCTGTGTTAATATATAACTTTTTCAAAATGAAATTTGAAAAAACTCAATTTTAATCTGGACCAGTTCTTAATTAAAATCAACAAACCATTTTTTAATTTCCATTAAATCACAGGATTCCTTCAAATTTTTCATTTCAAAATTAGATACTTTTCCTAGATTTCCCTGTTTGAAACAGTCAGGATGGACTGACTGTCTTTTTGCTGCAACGTCCAATTTTAACAGGCTTGATCTCAATGGAAAGATTTCCCTGTAAAAACAATCATCTCTGAAGTGTAACGATTTTATGGCTTTTCCATCCACTTCTCAAGATGTAATGTTGACACTCAATACTAATGATTGTTATCAGGTTTTAAAATATTCATGTGCAAAGAGTCACATTCAATTACAGAAAGGTAACACTTGGTAATGGTCTTTTTTAATTTTAACAAGAGTTTCTGCACAGCAAACAAACCCCATTAACAACTCAGTGAGTGAATTTCTTCTTCTTTGGTTCTTTCACCGGTGCTTGTTAATTTTTTTTATAACAGTGCTAAAAAGCCAGCGTGTAGTTGTGTCATCTGAACTAGAGCAATAAAATACTTCTCATCTCTTTGGTTCAACTGCCCCCTCACACACACACACACACACACACACACACACACACACTTCCCTTCAACAACCATCAAGAATGTCTGGATGAAAATAAAAAAATAGAAGAAAATCAGATTAAATTACAAACAATCCTTTGGCCATTAACACACCAGCCTCTCTAACATGTGCAGAATATAAACCGTCTTTTAGTTTGTCTGACATCATTTTACAATATATACAAACATACATATATAGTGTATGTGGCAACAGAAAATAAACCGTTCTAGCTTTTATAAATATGGGATAAAACTTCCATCTTGGCACATTAACTTGTGTATACTCTTTTAACATTCCTGTAGTTCTTTACTCACTTTTTAAAGGGAAGCCTTGCCTTGCGACTGATGCGATTAATGAGTGTCTAAAACTGCTTTTCTCTTAGTCTTTACACATTCAAAAGGAAGGCGTGAGGGTAATAAAAAAATGTACTGTGGACATAAGTGGAAGTGTGGTGATGATGAAGACTTCTTATGGTTGAATTTGGCCGTTGACAGTCAGGTCATACCTGCAGAAAAAAGACATTCAGTGAAGTTTAGAGGTGAACATTTTGAATTTTACTTCATTTAGAGCTAATTGTTTAATTTTTAAAAACATGAAAATATGAGGGAACTGGACTACTGGGAGGCCTTTGCAGAGATTTCTATTAGTGAAGATTTTGTATTATTTTTATCTTACTACAAAATTACATGCAACCGTCCATTATTCAAGCAGAAAAACGGACAGAAATATCAGTGTAAAAGTTCAACATGTATGTTGTTTTGTGCAACACTAAAATCAATCTAAACAACAAGAAAGGCAAGAGCATTCAAGCATTATTTATACTAAACTCATGCTAATCTGTAATACTGCCCAAAGAAATGCTAATATTTTGTATAATTTGATCAACCTTTCTGCTGGCTTTAAAAAAATAAACAAGATCCCTTTTCTGAGCCTTTAATGGTCAAACTGACCATTATACATAGTTTTAGAAAAAGGGTTTAGAAAAAAGGAGAACAGTGTAAGGCTTTAATGTCAATTGAATTTTTTGGGTAACAAAAATGAGCGCTTTTACTTTCCACCAATCTGTCTAAGCTGGAAAAGTTTGTAAAAAGTTTCTGTTTGAAACGGTTAAAGTGTTTTGTGGTTATTTATTTATTTTTTAATGCTTTCTGTGAAAATGCAAAATGTGTTATTAAATAAAGCAATAACCATTTGTTATTTTTCTGTATTGGACTGTAAATGCTGCCTTAGAGTGTATTTCAACCATCCGGCACGTCGCCAATAGTTGCATCTCGCTTAGGCAATACAGATTATCAATTTCACTTATTGATGGAATATGCATCATATTGCATTCAATTCAAACCAAATTAAAGGCAGTTTAAAAATAATCTCTCTGAACATAAAACTTAAGATTTCAACATATGTAAATTTGCGTAATTTGTTTTTGAGGCTTCCCATCTCCAGCAGTAGCTGAATTTAATTTTCAAGGCAAAATAAAACTAGCATGAAAACCATAGACAGAGTTGTGTAAAAAATACAAAGTAGGCTTCTAGTAGGAGATGAAATAAAAGTTTTTAAAATGGTATCCCTGCCAAGCATTAGAAAAAACGTACCATTGTGTCCAACCTTTGGTTATATCGTCATGATTTAAATCCACCAAGACCTGAAGTGAAATAAAAAAGATTTGATTAAGAAAGATTTCAAACCAACAAATATGCAAACAGCCAGGAAACCAATTCTTGTATTTTAACACCTCTTCAAGCAAGTATATAATAAAAATTCTAATTAGAAAGTACCTTTCCAAGAAGACCTTTATGTTTGGAGAGCAAACCTCCACTGTTTTTCACTGCAACATCCAGATTGCGACTACTGAGCTCGATCCAGGTAACGGAGAACTCAAACCTGGCCAGGGAGGAGAAACGCAGCTTTACATCAGTTACAACGCAGCCAGGCACAAAAACAAAATGAGTTTTAACAGTTTGACTTACGTTTCGTCAAATTTCGGATTCTGTGTTTTCTTGTGTGTGTGAGTTTTCCTCCGTCCCGACCTCCTTTTGTCAGGAAGCAGGTAGAGACGAGCGTACGGGTTTGAGCCGTGATCCGTGAAAGCGATCAGGTTTCTGCAGGAGTCAACAAAAAGAGATTCTCAAAAAATAGCTTTCTTACAAAAAGTGAAGGTGTTGCTGTGATGATTCAGACAGCCGTCTACCTGCAGGAGTGAACGACCACGATGAGCCTGTTCCTCTGCGTGCTGTACCGGATGGTCAGCTGGATGCTGCCCAGAGGGCTGTGACTGGACTCTGAACCACTTCACACACAAAAAACACAACACACCCAGCATTTCTCTCAGTTTCTGATTTAGAACTAAAAGCTGATCAGTTCCAGTGTAAAGTCAATAAATCTTTTACATATTACACACATGTGGTCAAGACAAAGCCTGTTATTGTCAATAGATTGAGCTGTAAAAACTTGTTATTCAACTATTTTTACTAATTAAATGTAATATTTAGGACCCTGAGGGCGCTGTGATGAACTATTTATTTAAATTCATGTCAAAATGTCTTTTTCTGATATTTTAAAATTTAATGAGCTTTTTGACTCTGAATGCATTCAGCTAAAACTGGACAACAAATGATGAGAATATTACCACTGTGATATCACAGTGTGCAGTAATCATATCGCTGTTTGGAGCACAATAATTGTTGGCTGACATATTACAAATGTTATTTTTAATATATATATTTTTTAACAACTCCTTCTCTGATCTGGACTTGATGACATCACAACCTGTCGGTGTCTGTAAGCCACTTAATGCAGACTCGTTTTTACATCGTAACAATTTTTAAACTTTTGCTTTAAAGTTCTGTAAGATATGACTTGACTTTCCTTCACTTTTTTATGCTGTTGTTTAGTAACAACTATACTCCCATTAACATTAATAAGAAAAATAATGTTACTTATAACTCACAACAAACAATTTCTGAAAAGCGTTGGGCTCTAAAGTCTGATAATAATTGATCAGTATGACCTAAATCTTTCATAGATTCACATCTTTCAGGTTTATATGATGTTATAATGTTCTTGCTTCATCATAATCACTCCTGATGTGATGTTTTGAGTTCTTCATACATGTTTTAGAAATACTTTTACCTAGTAGCGACTAAGAAATGCAACCCTTCCAAACAAAAAATAAATAAATCAGAGCCAGAAGGCGGAGCTTAGTGCTGTCAATCACCAGCTCGTGTTCTCACTATGCTAATGGCGGAGAAACAGCTCAATATTACAGAAAGACCTGTTATCCATCGTCATCAGTGTAGTTACCACATGCTAACTACACTCTGGTAAGGTAGCAGGGTGAAGAGGGTGATTAACAGCGCTAAGACCTGCATCGGATTGGTTGGTTGTAGTTCGCTTTGGCAGAAGGCACAGGGTCTACATTTCTTCGCAGATTATATCTCCCATAAGAAACTGTCACAACATGACAGATAAGTAAAACTTATTTTTTTGAAAGTTGCATCCTGCAACTTTAACTACACTCACTTGGGCAGCTGCTGGAGTCTCTGATGCAGCTCCTGAGCAGCGTAGGGGTTGGAAATATCCGAAGCGATGCTGGGCGTTGGCTCCTTGCCCCCGTTCAGGAACTGCTGGGAACCAGCGATAGCCAGGTAGGAAGTGCTCTTCCCAGTTTCTGCGAGGCTCTGACCTCCAGTTCTTCCTCCAACACCAGCCTGTTCCAAGTCCACGCTCCCCAGGGATTTCACTGGGGGATCCAACTCCTTCCGCCTGTTGGACAGGTCCTGGACGGAGGCGGTGGAGGAGCGGGGCACGTCTGAGATGGAGGGCGGAGGCATGCTGGCCTCTGAGGAAAGGGAGGGTTGTGGGGTGGGGGTAGCAGAGCTGGACTTGCGGACCTGGACGGATGACGGGGTGGAGTTTGAAGGTGAGGTTGATATCTTTTCAAGAGACAACACCTGATGGAAATAATAAGAATAGAACAAAACAAAAAACGATTAGAAGCTCAACAAAGACATAAAAGTTTAGAGTAAAAAGTGTCTGATATCCAAGGTGTTTCACCCGCAGAGCTATCTTCATCTTGAGGGTGCAGCTGGGTCCGGAGTTTTTGAGGGGGAAGCGTTGGCTCAGAGTCATGTCCTCTGCCTCTAGGAGACGGGTCAGGGGCAGAGCCAGCACCCCCAACGAACACTCATGCTTTGCATCCTTCACCTGAAACAGCCGGGGTTAAAACGCTCAGCGGAGCGACGAGGGAAACACTCTGGGTCACAAAACAGATGGAGACATCCTCACCTCCACCTGCAGCTCTTGCTTTTTTGGGTTGTGGATGAGGAATACGAAGTTTTCCTCCCACACTGGTTCATTGGTTTTATATTTGGTCTGGAAAAAGATGCGGATGAAACACAACTTCAAATAGAAGTTCTCATAGCCTGGTTTTTGTCGTAAAACTCACAGGAAGGACGATTGAAATAAAAGCCTCTCATTAAAAATATTTTCTGTTTTTTTTTTGAGAAAATAAATGAGCACAAAAACTTGTGGTTTAAAAAAAATGAGCGCTTTTATTAGTTAAGTCATAGCTTTAGTCTGAACGAGCAATATTCAGAACCAGACTGCTTTGACTTTACATCAACAAAGTACATATTTATTCCTTGAAATGATTTTATTCATATTATTAATAGTTGAACAAACTGAAAATCCTCACCTTGCTGTTAAAGGACTGGCGTCCCACTCTGAACTGGACCATTGGACTGGGATCACTGGTCACCTTTTTACCAGACTGCAGAAAAACAAACAGGTTTCAACGAACAAACAGGAAAAATGAGAAGCTTTGATCAAAACAAAGGTTTTCCTAACACAACCTGAACAGCAATGCAGCCAATTATGTTTTCATAACAATGAGCTCAATGTTCAAAATGGCTTCTTTTTTCTCAAAATAATCCAACTGCAAACACATAAGAGTTTCATAAATGTAAAAAGAAATAAGTTGAGCTCATCAAGTATTAATTTTGAGCTGTAATTATAGAAGATTTAGAATAGAAACTTTGGGAAAGAGCAGGTAAAAGTCCCATGACCCACAAAGTCCAGAAAAAAAAATCACCAGATTCAATTTGAAGAAGAAATTAAATTGTAAGGCATGAATGTAGCTCAGGCAGTAATGCTGTTATATGCAACACACACTGTTAGACACAGCTTTAGTCGGGCGACACGAGGGTCAGTAAATGAAAAAAGCTCTGAGTGGATTAAAATAAAACTCCTGCTGAAGCTGTGTGTGTTTGTGGAGTCGTCTTCGTGTTTCCTCTACGTTTCCCTTCAGTGTCTGAGCCGGAGTTGTGTTCTCTGTTGCTGTTACCTTGATGGCCTTACTGATCGAGGCCTTCCTCAGCCCCGTCTGGTTGAACTCTAACGGATTGCGCTTTGATTTTCCCCCAGTGAAGTGAAGGCAGGAGAGAGTAACACACAGACACACCGGGAGGTTAATTAGGGGAGGGGGAGCATGCGGGGAGGAAGAGAAGGAGGAGAAGTTGATGAAACACACCACCACCGTCAGCATCACCAAAGGATTGGGATGCACCCAGAGTGAGACAGACAGAGACAACATGAATGATCACATGGTTAATGTCATTCCCCACTTAATGAAGCTGAATTAACAACATTCAGACAGAAAATTGACACAGGAAATAAGATTATTCAACATTTATTTGGAAACAAACTGGTGAAAGAGCTTCCTCTAGTGATACTCAGAACAAAATACTGACATTAGATCATCTACAGTAAGGGTGGCCGACATGGAATAAATGTTTTATTGTGATATTTTGCTGTACTATTGTGATGAAGATAAAAGAGACAGTAAGTAATATTTATTGCTTCTTTTTTAGGTAACTGTGACTGCACCAAAAACAGCTTGTGCAGTAATACACTTATTCAGGAGGGTATTAAAAACTGCTCAGAGTAACTGTGATTTTTTTTGATAATTATTGATATTTTCATTGAACAAAAAGTGGAAAAAACAGTAAAGCTAACTCTCCTGACAATCCAAGCAGTTTTTAGGATCACTATGTTGTATTCTGATGTCTTTGTTGTGCTGTTTGGTGTGAATAAACTCTTACTCACCTTAAGAACAATAAAGATAAATAAACCTCTGAGGAAATGAAACTGGACTAGTGGTAACATAAGATCCACTGGAACAGTGTGAACTCTGCTAGTGTTGAGCTTCCCATTTCACACTTAGCCATATTTTTACCAGCATCGTACATATGGGATGCTGTGAGTCACATGAGCAGAGTAAGATACCCGAGTTTCAGAGGAACTCGTCAAGGAAAGAGGAAAAAACTGAACACACAATGACTTCAAACCATAAACTGCATATAAAAGATGGACAGAACCCATCTGGTTAAAATCAGCATTTCCTCTGATCACCAGCTGGGCCCAACAGCTTCAGCTGCAAACGTTGGTCTCACTGCTCTTTTTTTACCTGGGTGTTTAACCTCAGAGACCTGGACTGAGATCAACGTTGCAACGACTGAAAAGCTGAACTTCTCCATCTTTTACTGTACAAACAGTTTAAGGAAAACCAGGGATGATGAAGGGAAGCAATCCAAAAAACACAATTTGCCTTCACTGCTCTGAATAACCCCACAAACTAAAAATGAATGACTCCTTCCTAATTAGTTTAAATACCTAACACTGAGCTTTACAATTTATAGGCCGTGAACATGAAATTTTGCCACGCTACAAACCCAAACATCAATAGTTATTTGAGATTTTGTGAGATAATTCAACACATTAATGTAAAATAGATGGAAAAGAATATGTGGGTTTCAACATTTTATACAAATAAAATTATGCAAAAAAAATTAGGGAATTCAAAGAGGTGCTTAAGTCAATTATAAACTGCAGCTTAGTTGTTTTATTGAAGAAGCCAAACAGAAACAACTTTTTACATGAAATGAGTGCTAGAGATCAATATTATGATTTTTTTTAAATGTTTTTTTTTAAAAAACATATTTTTGCTATCAATGTTTGCCATAAATCTAAAGCAGAATACAGCAACACTTAAGCCGCATTCACAAATATTACATCATATTGCATGTTGCCCTATAAAATACATTACATATCTGAGATTTTTTTTTTCTTCAAAATATAACATTCAACTTTACAGCTGTAATGTGACAAAATGTGAAAACATTTTGCCGTTTGTTTAATTTTATTTTGAAAGGTAATTAGTACAAATTGATGACCTGCAGCCAAGCTTCTGTTGATTAGAAAACTAACTGGTTGTAATTTTCTCTTAAAAGAGACATATTGACTTCATCGCTAATGTTGAGTTTTTCTTGCAAAGTAAGAAGAAAAACCGACCTCACATATTGAAAGTTAAGGTTATTTAATGAGGATGTGCATGCAAGAGCTTTAGCAGGAAGACTGTCACTAATTGTCCTAAAATATAAAGTTTTCTCTGTTTTTGTGTAGATTTTTGGATGTATTTTATGTCCTGTCCTTTTCTTTCGCTTTTGGAAACCCCAACAGAAACTTTACTAAAGTATAATGGCAAGACAAGGATTCAAACCCATGCACTGGAGAGGTTTCATGCTGTTCAGGCAAAATGGGGAAGAATCACTCTTCAGCATTCCTCATACTGCTCTAAGATGCAGAGATCAGCTTGTGGACTCACAAACAAGGTCCTATAGAGAGAAGACGTGTTTTCACAAAACACGAGGCCCGCCGAGCGCCTCTCTTTTAAGTAGCCTGAACCCAAGTTCCCCTCGAAGACGCTCTTCAGAGCAGCCAGGAGGCACGGAGGAGAAGAAGAGGAAGAAAAAGCAAAGGAGGCTGAGAGGAGAAAACTGAAGCCTGTGCTTGATCTGAACCTTTACAGACAAATGTGTGCTTGCTAATACAACAGAGTTCCTGTTTTTACTCTCAAACTAAACTCAAACTAATCTCAAACACAGATAAGGTTCTGTAATTTTACAAGTTTAAATCTTTTGTAAATAATTCAAGAATTTGTTGAATGTGATCAGTTTAAAAAGCTGCACATCAGACAGCATAATACAAATAGAAATACATAAGGGATCATTTCTTCTACTGTAGAAAATAAAGTCACAAAACAAGTAGGAGTATTAATATTATAGACACACCGATGGCTAACATGAGTTAGGCTTCACTTACTGTATTGCTGTATTTATATTTGTTTACTTACTGCATTCACAGAAAAAATGTCCACAACAGTTTTGCAAGTTTAGTTGAAGCAACCAATCATATTAACAGAATAAAACCAATTAATTTAAAAGAATATGTTAGATTTGCAACTGCTTGGAAAATAGAGTGAAAGAAAAGCAAGAAAGTAGATAAGAGAAATTATGTTTATCTATAACTTTTAACTCAAAATAAAGGTAATTTGAACAAACAAAAAGAGAAATCAAGACTGCTGTAACCATTGAAGTTTCACGATATTCCTAGCAAATGAGTCCAATCCAACCCTTAAAAACTGATTTCTTAGTTCCACTTAAAGCCTGTAAATCCTAAAATCAGCTCCATGGATTATAAACCAGATTGACTCACCGGCAGGTTTCTGGCTGAATCCAGGAAGACTACGAGCACCGCAGACGACAGCCCATCGATGGCGCTGGAGCCGGTCGCCTTGATCTGCATCAGCGCCTGTGAGGGAACAAGAGACTAGAACTGAACAGAGACTGGTTCTGAACAGAGTCTGGTTCTGAACAGAGACTGGTTGTGAACAGAGTCTGGTTCTGAACAGAGACTGGTTCTGAACAGAGACTAGATCTGAACAGAGACTGGTTCTGAACAGAGTCTGGTTCTGAACAGAGACTGGTTGTGAACAGAGTCTGGTTCTGAACAGAGACTGGTTGTGAACAGAGTCTGGTTCTGAACAGAGACTGGTTCTGAACAGAGTCTGGTTCTGAACAGAGTCTGGTTCTGAACAGAGACTGGTTCTGAACAGAGACTGGTTCTGAACAGAGACTGGTTCTGAACAGAGACTGGTTCTGAACAGAGTCTGGTTCTGAACAGAGACTGGTTCTGAACAGAGTCTGGTTCTGAACAGAGACTAGAACTGAACAGAGACTGGTTCTGAACAGAGACTAGAACTGAACAGAGACTGGTTGTGAACAGAGTCTGGTTCTGAACAGAGTCTGGTTCTGAACAGAGACTGGTTGTGAACAGAGTCTGGTTCTGAACAGAGACTGGTTCTGAACAGAGACTAGAACTGAACAGAGACTGGTTCTGAACAGAGACTGGTTCTGAACAGAGACTGGTTCTGAACAGAGTCTGGTTCTGAACAGAGACTGGTTGTGAACAGAGTCTGGTTCTGAACAGAGACTGGTTCTGAACAGAGTCTGGTTCTGAACAGAGACTGGTTCTGAACAGAGACTGGTTCTGAACAGAGACTGGTTCTGAACAGAGTCTGGTTCTGAACAGAGACTGGTTGTGAACAGAGTCTGGTTCTGAACAGAGACTGGTTCTGAACAGAGTCTAGAACTGAACAGAGACTGGTTCTGTTTGAAAGTAAATATGTGCAGTTATACCTGGTCCAGTTTCTCAGGTGAGGGCAGCAGACACAACCACTCCATCTTCAGGTGCAGCTTTCCTTTGGGAACATCTTCCAGATCAAACCACTAAGGAGGGAAAAGTAATCAATAATCAATACCTGATTGTATAATTTCCCAGCTCAGTCTGGGAGTATCCAGCACATTTCTTAAAGAAATCTTAAAGTTTCTTATTCAGGTTACAAAAACCTTATTCAAAAGCACATTTTTCAAATCAATAAAAATGGTTAAAGCTTGTAACTGGATGCATTAAAAAAGCAAATTCAGTAACATAAAAAGAAAAATACTTTTTTATTTCAACCTATATTTTATATTTTTGTATTATATTTCTTCACATCTCAGCAAGTTTAGTTTAACACCTTTTCGCTCTTCACTGTTTTTTGTTTCACATTGAAAAAGTCATAATTAACACACTTGCTTATTAACTTTGTTACACAGCATTTTTGTGTGTTTGTCCTACAAAAATGATGGGCAACTTTTTAAGATAACATATAAAACTAGAAGAATCTAAATATTTGACACCAAATATTGTTGAGTTTAAGATCTTTGCATCCATCGAGGTATTACAATTTTAACAGAAAAGTGAAAGGAAGAAGATTTTTTCCTTGCAAAAACGCTTTGCAAATTCAACAATTATTACTAAAAACAATGAAAAAAATAATCACCTCCTCCACAATTTGTTCCTTCTTGAGTTCTGCCATGTCGATCATCACACTGAAACACAAATCAGCTCAAAAGGTTTACAGAAGAACAAATGCTTTTTTTTAGCTTGTCTGCACCATGTGTAAAATTATTTATGATATCATATTATGATATACTTCAATTATCATTAAATAAAATAGTCTAAAGTGTTAATTTTGTCATATTCTGCACTGTTAGAAAATATCACTAAAAATGACGTGGTCAAAATCCTCACTGACCTAATAATTGTGCACACAGAGGAATAGTTAAAGAAAGGCAACTCAATGTTACTTTCAGTGAAACAACAAGAACCTACGTTCCCAGTTTGTCATCTTCGTCTGGGTCTTCATCAAACAGTTCAATTTCCATCGCTTTTGCCGTGTTATCGTACATCAAGAACTGAAGAGCAACACATAAACAAACATTAATACTTCCTTTAATGTCTGCGACAAACGTCCTGAAATACCTGGGGACTGGTAACATGAAAAAACCCACTGAAAATCAACAACAATCCATATGTACATCCTACATAAACATCTTCAGTTTACGGCATAACTAAGAGCAAATCCTCCAAGAGGAAGGCAGGAAGTCCAGCTCACCTCATGGACCTCGTTCCAGATGGGATTGACGGTCTCTTTGATGACTTTGCTCTTGACTTCCTGTGTGCCGAGCCGGATGACTCCATATGGGTCGGACTTGCCCTTGATTAGTCCTCCCAGGAACTTGTCCTTGCCCAGTAGGTCCTGGGCTTTAATAAAGTGGATTCTTACCAAGGCCTTAACAATGAAAAAAATGGAAGAAAAGTAGATGAAAAGTGGTTCTCAAATGCTGAATGCATGTAACCCGCTGTTTAACGACTAAATCTTTACATAATTTGCTTTCAGTTTCCACATTGTCCTCTGACATTGTGACTGTGGGTAGTTCCAAAGAGGTCAGAGGTCAATCTTTGCCTCTACATCTTGCTGTCTGGTAACAATCGAGTAATGTTTTATTTGATTGAAATTAGTTCCAGTAGACAGACAAATAATGTCTGCATTAATCGTCTTTTAGTGTTGCAGTTTGGCTTCTGTCCAGCAGAGGGACTTGCTGATCATCCCTAAGTGGAGCCAGTTGTTTCAGAAATAAAGATGGCGGGGGCAAAGCAGAATGGGAAAAAAACAAACAGTTCAAACAGGATCCGATTTGGGGTGCAAAATCAACTTCATGTGGCTTTGTTGTGAAATACAACCACTTAAGCTCCTTAAAGTTTTACCAGAAAATCCTGATGAGCAACCACAGACAGTACTTTGTATGAACAAAGGGTTAGAAAAACAGCTGGCACTCTTGATACAAAAAAAACTCAGATTTTTAAGCAAAAATATAAACTTTCGATTAACTCTTCAGTCTATGACTTGCATCCTTATGTGTGTGTCTGTCTCACATGGAATCTCCTGTGCCAGGAGAGTTTTCCTTGTTTAGAGTGTGTGATACCTCTGGAATGGGGAAGCGGATTCTGGCCAGCTCAGCCGCTCCCACCAGAGGGATGTTGAGACGGTTCGGCAGCACCAAGTAGCTGTAGATGATGTCCTGGATGAGGCCGTCGCACAAACCACTGAAGGCACAGAAAGAAACAGAAAATAAAGTAAGATTTCAACAAAATAAATAAATCAGCTTTTGCAAAAGAAAATAAACAGAATCTCCTTCATTTAACAACAACAACAACGTTGTGTATTTCTCAAACCACCTCCTGACATTTCATCAGTTTTCCTCAAGGTGGCAGCAGAATCCTGCCTCTGATCACCTAAAGTTTTAATTAATTTCTGGGTCAGTTTGTGCCAAAAATAAAATACAAATATAATTTTTTAAAAAAGTATCACACCAATATGATTATTAAGAGAATGACTAAATATTTTCAGACACCTGAAATTCTGTGTCCTCTCCATGCATTTATAAACATTGATATTTTCAAACATCTCATTGTTTTCTCCATTATATACATGAAGATCACATTTTTAATCTTTTGGGGATAAAATGAACATGGCCTCACACACTCATGCAGAGGAATAGGAGGGTGGGGCAAGGGCTGATCAAAGCACGCAGTGTAACACACACACAAATAAACACGCAGCGAGTGACTTCCTTCAAACTAGTTCAACGAGGAAAGCAACATTTCGCTGGGTGGAGTCTTTCAGAGCGAATCTCTGCCTGAAAACAAACAGTAAACAGAGGAAACAGATACAGTTCTACGCAGGGGCGACGACTCACTCATAGCAACCTTCAGTTGCTTTCAGGTTAAATTAATTCTTCTCAAATTTTGGAGGAAAATACGGAAACAAACTGCCCACCGGTCATTTTTCAGGTTTGCATGAAAGGTTTTACCGGTTTGCATGAACTACGACAGAACCTCGCATTATGCAGCATGGATGTCAGCCATGCATCCACAAATTTGGATATTTAATATGAAAGGGCCGTAATACGTCCTTTCATTTCCCAACCACAAGTTGATGCAGCTATCATATAATTTCCTGGTTTTGAGCGTTGCCTCATACCTGCCAGCCTCTCGGTGTGAGTGGGTGAACCACTCCTGAATACTTGTTTTTTTCCCACAGCTTGCATGTCCAGCAGAGCAGCCAGATGATCGGGTTTCAGTTTGACCCAATATACATCAGGAGGTGTGAGAGACTAAGACGTGTGATTACGTGTGAATGAAAAGAGGCTTTAGTTAATGTGTTCGGCATAATCAGGGCAAACCCTCAGTTTTTTAAATCCTTAAATGTTATTTACTCACAAAGAATAGAAAGCTAAAAGTAGCCTCTCATTGTGGAGGTTTTAGAGTTCATTTATTACTGGACAATCGGGACATAAAGACAATAAGTTGTAAAGATACATTTCCTTAAGATAAGCTACAGAGTTGCTTTCCCTACTGCTTTTGAGTAATAACTGGGGTGTTTTAACATTTATAATTTCATAAAGTGAGTTGTTCATCAACTAAAACAGTACCTATGATTTAACTACACATGCACTGATCTGATATTAACATCTATATCGGCCCCAAAATCGAAAATAATTGTAGATCAGGAATCCGCAGCAATGTTCCCAATCTAATTAGATCTATTCAGTCTAATTGTGTGCTTGAGGTACATCACACTTTATTATTTATTTTACACTATATTTAGGGTTTGTAACGGCTCTTTCTGAACCATTTGAAAGATTTGTTGCGGTTTATTTTTACATGTTTGACGAAGGTAGTCAACCGTTTATTAGGCAACCGATCTTATCAGTTTAGTTTAACTACAACTAAACCCCAAAGAACCTTTTTTAGCTGATAAACAGTCGAAATAGATATTTAGGGTTCTATTATTGTAGACAATTTTGTTTAGTTTTGCATTATTTTGCCTAAAACTAGCGAAGTGCTGCCCCCTTTGGTCAAACAGCAGGATGACTGGTAGGACCGATGTTTACTTACTTCACACCTGGAATATCCAACATGTTCGTGAGACCCGTCCAGTTAATGTCCAACATCTGGAAGACAGAAAGTCCGCATCAGTTTAATTTGATAAAATGAATAATAATGGCTACAAAATCAGAAAGAGATACAGAGGAAACTTTTTTTTAGTATATAACAATAATTAAATGCATCTATAATAGTTTGCGCTGGTTAATTTGTGGTCAGGATTAATGATTCACACATTCAGCTCCACATAAAGCACAAGAAAAGACACTAAAACCATAATAAATACAATATGTGATGTTACTTTGTACTAGATTTAAAATTGTATCAAAGTTCTGCAGACTTGAGGACAGAAATATCTGGCAACTTGATTTTTATTAGAGGTTTAACAAGCTTTTACTCTTTAAACTTGAGTGCCTGTAAAAACCAAACAGAGCTGCATGTATAAACTGGGACATTATTTGATCAAGAGTGAAAGTTGATTTGAGGGCGATTTCTCCTCAGCTCCTCCCTGCCTGCAGTGAGCCAGCAAACAGCAGCTCAGGAGCCAAGCTTTTAATTCGATCGATGTGCTAATCAATACAGGAGGGCAGCTCAGGTTCACAGACGGGAAGCACATGATGAAGGCTACATACAACTCTGTCTTTAGAAATTATTCAAACTATGATCAGCATAACAATAATGTCATTTCTTCTGAAAGGTTCAGTCAATCATAACTCCTGTCATCAGGTGGGTCTTCATCTGTGGATGCCTCAAACAGAAAATAAAAATCTTCACCAAGTTCAGCTGGAGCTTTACTTCTCTTCAGCAAGTTGAAAACCCCCCAAAATTCATCCAGCTCCATAAATCCTGTCTATAAAGTCCAGACACACCTTAACAGCTGCAGAGAAAAACTGGGTTTAACTCTGCAAACAGACAGAACTTTAACTTAGGTGCTGCTCCAGCTTGTTCTCGTTTGCATCACAAGTTGTCAATTGTCTCTGATGATGAAACCAAACGCTGAAAAGCTGGAACGAGGTCCCTCACACTCTGCACAAACTAAAGGTGTTTAAACGTCTGCCATCTTGTTCAGAGCAGGAGCTTATTAACCTGCTTCTCTAACCCAGTTACTGGGCCTTTTTAGGAACATAAACTGGGCCATCTGGGAGGAGGACTGGATGAAATCCTGCAGGGGGAAAGTGACCTGTTTGAAGGAAAAAAAAAGATTAACAGCAAACAATAAGTTCTTTCTCTGCTCCACCTTTTCCAGGTTTCATTAGCTGCTCTTGGTAATTTGAGTGACGAGTTCAGAGAAAAGTGATCGCCTTCCCAGGGAACCCTGGCAGTGAAAGAGACAAATTACCGCAGACATTCCTGACACGCTGGCATCCAGAGGCTGCAAACTCATCAAGACACAGTTTGGAACAATGCAGATATTATTTCAGTTAAGAAACGTCAGAGAAAAAAAATCTAAAACAGGAAGGTAACAAAACCTTCCTGTTTTAGTTTTCAGGTGTGGTTCAGCAAAAAACACAAAAACATTAGAACTGCAGGTTCAAACTAAATAGCATCTGAGTTTTCATTGACCATATGACTGTGCAATATTGGAATAACAAAAATGTATCTGCTCTTTAGAAACAATTTCTAAAAAGAATTCCCATTTTCAATAAAAAGTTTTTGTGGCAGCCTGAGGTGTTTTTTCAGAAGTATCAAAAGGAATATATTTTGCAAACCTGCAGTGGAATCACACAGAGGAAGCTGAACCATTACCCATACTGATTCCTATTTTCCATTTTTATTTTTTCAAATTTGAAAAGCAAACTCCAGAGCAGCCCTGCAGTGTTTCAGTTCACTGGTTCCTGGCTCAATTCAGAACCAGTGAACCGACCATAACAGGAGTGAGAGTCAGGTGACATTGTTGGCATTTCTGTTGAGACACCTAATAATACAGAACCTCACTGCTTTATCAAAGGTCAGATTATGTTGTGAAAGATAAGAGTGAGAAGTCTGAATGTGTGTCAGTTTGTTCAGCGATAAGAAGAGACTGTGAAGCTTTAGAAGGTTATAAAAAACTGAAAGATGTTACTTTCAAAGCAGGCAATGAAATTATAAAAAAATGTAAAAGTGTAAAAGTCTGCCAATGTTTGTTTCTATCATGCTTTAGAGAAAAATTACCCTAACTGGCATGAATCTGTGGTTTTAGAAGTAGGCCAGCTTCACCACAGAGCAGCAAACACAGACTGGGTAAGGAAGAGGAGAAAACAGATGGGGGATTCCACAGAACGACAGAGAAAATACTACAGCGAGCCACCTGTTCCCGTCAGGCCCAGACACGCAGTCACAGTCAAATACAACCAGAGCCATGGGTGGATTCTGCAGGACAGTGGGACTGGATTTTTCCAGGCCATATTAAAACTGCAGCAGGCTTCACTTCAAGAGTGAAAGCAGAGGCCAGTCGCTGTCTTTCCACCAATGTCAAAACACATCAGCTGAATAGCTTCAGAAGTTGCAAAACTCAATATTCACTGTCTGCGTCTTACCAGAGGCACGAGACCAACAGGTTGTGGGAGAGAACTCTTCATTTTTCTGCTAGTTTTTCTACATTTGACCTATTACAGCAAAGTTTGGAGTCACAATCTGGTGAAATTATCTTTGTGTTGCTCAATTGATTCGTTCTAAACCAGTAGACAGAAACACACCAAATTAGACCGGAGAGCACTTCAAAAACAGGAAGCAGACTACAACGCACAGCATTCTGGGTAAATACAACCCAAACAAACACACGAGTCTAACGCTATCGCTAGAAACGGCTCATGGTTTTTGGCTAAAAACAAAAGAGAAGTCCTACGACTGCTAAAACATGATGCCACTAAGAAGGAAGGTTTTTGCTCAGTGTCGTAGTGGATAAACATCAGAGGAAAGCCGTTGTGGTAGATGTAGCAATACCAAGTGATTGCAACATCAGGAAAAAGGACAAACTGGAGAAATACCAGGGCCTCAGGAAGAACTGGAGAGGGCCTGGAAGGTGAAGACCACAGTGGTGCCTGTGGTCATCGGGGCTCTCGGGGCAGTAACCCCCAAACTGGATCAATGGCTACAACAGATCCCAGTAACAACATCAGACATCTCAGTCCAGAAATGTGCAGTCCTTGGCACAGCCAAGATACTGCGCAGAACCCTCAAGCTCCCAGGCCTCTGGTAGAGGACCTGAGCTCAGAGGATAAGAACCACCGCGGTGGGTGAGAAGGGAATTTTTTTTTATATATGTTAATCATCTGCAATAATTAGCTGGCCAAAGGAGGAGATAAAAGCCACAGATATTAAGACTAGGAAGCTACTAACCATGCATGGAGGGTTCCACCCAAATCCAGCACCCTGAGACTGTACACGAGCCACAAGGAAGGAGGCAGAGGACTAGTGAGTGTGAGAACCACTGTCCAGGATGAAACAACTAAGTTCCATAAATACATCAGGGACAAAGCCTCAACAGACAATGTGCTCAGCGAATGTCTCAGACAACAGGGAACGGAGGTTGAGGTGCCAGAGATACCATCATGGGAGGACAAGCCCCTACATGGGATGTACCACCAGCAAATAACCCAAGTGGCTGATATCAGTAAATCCTACCAATGGCTGGAAAAAGCTGGACTCAAGGACAGCACAGAGGCCTCATCCTGGCAGCCCAGGAACAGGCCCTAAACACCAGAGCAATAGAGGCCCAGATCTACCACACCAGACAAGACCCAAGGTGTAGGTTGTGCAAGGAGGCCCCTGAGACAGTCCAGCACATCACAGCAGGGTGCAAGATACTGGCAGGGAAAGCGTACATGGAGCGACATAACCAAGTGGCAGGCATAGTGTACAGAAACATCTGTGCAGAATATGGACTGGAAACCCCGAGATCAAAGTGGGAAACACCCCCAAAGGTGGTGGAGAACGCCAGAGCTAAGATCCTGTGGGACTTCCAGATCCAGACAGACAAAATGGTAATGGCGAACCAACCAGACATTGTTGTAGTGGATAAACATCAGAGGAAAGCCGTTGTGGTAGATGTAGCAATACCAAGTGATTGCAACATCAGGAAAAAGGAGCACGAGAAACTGGAGAAATACCAGGGCCTCAGGGAGGAACTGGAGAGGGCCTGGAAGGTGAAGACCACAGTGGTGCCTGTGGTCATCGGGGCCCTCGGGGCAGTAACCCCCAAACTGGAGCAGTGGCTACAACAGATCCCAGGAACAACATCAGACATCTCAGTCCAGAAATGTGCAGTCCTTGGCACAGCCAAGATACTGCAGGACCCTCAAGCTCCCAGGCCTCTGGTAGAGGACCTGAGCTCAGAGGATAAGAACCACCCGCGGTGGGTGAGAAGGGAATTTTATATTTATATATATATATATAGATATATATATATATATATATAGATATATATATATATATATATATATATATATATATAGATATATATATATATATATATATCTCTATATATATATATATATATCTATATATATATATATATATATATATATATATATATCTATATATATATATATATATCTATATATATATATATATACCCACTTGGGTATATATATATATATATATATATAATATATAAAATATATATATATATATATATATATATATATATATATATATATATATATATATATATATATATATATACCCACTTGGGTATATATATATATATATATATATAATATATAAAAAATCTATATATATATATATATATATATATATATTATATATATATATATATATATATATATATATATATATTTTTTTTTTTTTTTTTTTTTTTTTTTTTTTTACAGAATGGCAAAGTGGCGATGAAGGTGCAGAAACCTCTCAAGTTAAGACGGAACATTTGCATTTGACAGATGTTAGTTTCTCCATAAGCCCTATGTTACACTGTTTTTTTAGAACTAGGGTCAAGTCTGACAATTTAATTTGATATACGTTGGTACAACAACAGCAGGAGGAGCCCAGAGAGAGATAAACTAGATAAACCAACGAGACGGTTGGCTTACTGGTGAGTCGGCTGTCACACCACAACTGTAATACTGAAAGCTCAGCATCCTGTCACAACTCACCAGGCTCACAGGGAGGAAGAAACAACACCAACGACCAAACAACCACAAACCAGCAACACTGCACTGTGGCTGACGGCTTGTGTTTCAGACTGATGATGGAACATCAGTTATCGGTTGTTTTTAAACCAAAGATACAAGGGTTTGAGTAATATTTCTTCAGAAACAAAGAAAAGGGCAATGAATAAATAAATAAACTATTGCATTCATTGAGGCTTTATAGTCATCATCTGCAATGAAACTGTTCTTGCATCCTTACTGTTTAAGTCTAAAACTGCAGTTTTGTGGCTTCGCTGCAAGTTTAGAAAAGACTCAAATATGAGTCCAGTGACAGAATATTAAATAGGACTACGCTGGTGCACAATTTTGAGCAGAATGAGAAAAAATGTTTGATTTTAGCAGAAAACTTCATATGAGCAACTATATGTGTGAATCATGTGTAATTATATTCTGATTATCGCAAAAACATTTAGCACCCACCAAAATAAAACAAACAAAAAAAGAGATAAAATGTAAGTTCAATTTCATAAAAGAAGGACAAAATCTCCAAGCGGCTCCTAAGTTGAAGTTTCTGCTGTTGGATGATGGGATAATTTCCTGTTTGTGTTTAGAGTATCTTGATGATGCTTCTTTTCCTCTGGGTGCTTCTATCAAAGCCTGGATCAGGAAGATAAGCCATTCTGGACTACAGGGAGGAAGACTGCAGTCAGGAAGTGAGGGCACAGATAAAGAAAGGAAGAGACTCAAGTTGAAAACTGAGTTCAGACTTCTCCAAAAAGACAGAAAATGTCAAAGGAAAAATCATCTTTTTTTGGACAATTTGTGTCTGGAAAGCAGGTTTGCATTCCTGAAGTGGTCAAACAATATGTTAATTTCTTTCAACCTGAGGGAAGGAGCATCACAATGTTATTTAAACTCTGATAAAGTGAAAGTTATCAAAGTCTGAGAGGAGGAATCAAAGTACTCACAGGTTTTTTGAGGAAAAAGACAGACAGGGCTCCGATCAGAGGCATGTCCCCCAGCAGAGGCTCCATCACCACCCTCAGCATGCCATGAAGCTGCAGACAACAAAACATCATCAAACTGTTTCTGCCTGGGATTTATCACATAATATTGTTGACTTCTGGAGAACATGAGTCCTATTTACAATAACTGGGTCTGAATTAGGTCTCCACTTCTTGCCATTTTCCTTGTAGAGGATTTATTAGAGCAGATTTTAGAGAAAGAAGTGTTGCATCTGAATTGCTTTTGCTGGTTCAGATGTTAATATTTATTTTCCCCAAAACTGCAGCAACACACATAATTCTTTATGAAGCTGGAAATACAAAACAACTGGATCCCCTTTTTTTGTACTTTCTCTGCAGCTTCATTGGCATCCATTCCTCAGATAATTCACATATTTATTGCAACAATTTATTAACCCCCAAAGTCTGAGCGCAAGAAGCCAAATCAGGGGCATTGAGAGGCATTTTTTCTTTGTGCTGCTGTGAGTCAAACCTCAGACATGTAGACTGCATGTCTGCAGCACCAAATTTGGACATAGCTTCTTGCTCACAGAGCACTTTGCTCATCAAAATCAGTCTGGTGAAAAAGATTGAAGATGGGCATTAGTTTTGTTTATGTCCGTTTCCTTCTGCAGCCCACTGCTGCCTCAAAGAGGGCGCTTTATAAATAATGTGCCTATAATGCAATCCCACCGGGACGGAGAAGTCTATAAATAAAAGATGCGACACAAGTGAAGAAAATAATGACTCATGGATTATTGCTGAGAATAATCTAGTCAAGTTTGACAGGCGATGAAAAGCATCCGTAGAAACTTTTATTGCAGCTGCAAAATGAACATAAGAGGCAAACGTTGACTGAGCTGCTGAGAAGCAGCAGTTTCTCTTCTCCCTGCTGATCTCTGAACAGCAAACATGGCATGATCGGATGCCAACAGCCGAATGAATAACGTCTGCTTTATCAGACACGAGTCAACACATTATGTGAAATTCTCTCTGAGGGTTCACGGATTATTGCAGGGGTCACAGCTAAAGGAGCGAAGCAGAGCACAGTCCTGTCTGACTGACAACATGAATAACGTGGGACAACAGACTGCACAGCCACAAGGCAGAACATTGTTTTAATTTTAAAGTTAAAATTTAATAGTGGGACTCAATTTGGATCAAAAACAAAACTTGACAAAATAAGCAATTATTTTCAATTCAAAAACCCTTTTTTTTGCTAAATTATTAAATAAATGTGCAAATGAGATCAACAACAAAGATGTTTATTGTTTTTAATCTATTATTCATATTGGTGGAAAGTGCTTTGTCATCCACTGCTGTTGTTTGCGGATGTTGCTTGTGCGTCAGATTTATGGGCATACCAGAAACAAAACAACAACAAAAAAGCAATTAACTGCATATATTTTGAATGAGTTAAAACCTATGTAATAATTTAATCAAAATTAACACATTATAGTCAAGGGAAAAAATTACTTAAGAGAATCTTTTCTATCTGTAGAAATACAAATATTTATCATGTTGACTGAATTTATTAATATTTACCAGTTTGTTTTCTACTTCTATGTTTAAGATTCGTTATATTTCCAGATGTTTCCAGACTGTGCAGGAACCTTTTCTCTTAAATATGTTTTACGTTTCACAATTAACCTTTCCTTGATGTGAACTGTTTCTGTGCCTGAAGTTATTTATAGAGACTTTGGGGAAATTTTAATGCAAACTTTTAAAAACAAATCAGTCATACCTGTATGCTTTTGATTCCAGCCCTGCAGTAGAACTTCTTGATGTCGATGTCAATTTCTGTGTTACCAACAAAACTAAAAGTAAAAATGGGAGGAAAATAAGCAAATTAAACCTGTTAATAGACAAGACGGAGCTAAGGGAAATAGATATTCTTAACAGAGTTATCAAAAAGCAAAAATAGTTGTTATTTGTGAAAGAAGTGTTGCCCTCACTTGCATTTCATGTCATATAATTAAAGCGTTACTGGCCTTTAATTCTACACCAAGCAGACTTTAATCTAAATTTATAGGGATTGATCTTCTGTTTAGCTTTACTCTGCTGCTGGCTGATTGTAAGGATCTGCAGGTAGCATCCTGCTGTTAAAACTACAAAAGCAAAATGAAATCTTGTGTCTGCAGCATCGTGGTGAGTTTGTGAGAGTAGGAGGGAGGCCTACCTGATCTGCAGGTCCATGATGACCTGCCTTTTGTCCACATTTTCTGTGTAAACCTTCACCCCATTCACTCTGAGCGGCTGCAAACACACACACACACACGCACGCACACACAAAGAGAAAACAAAAGGTGAAAGTGAGAAAATTATTTCTCAGATGTGAGGAATAGTTTCCAGCAGCTTTTCTTAAGAGAGTTTGTTTCTGGAAGCTTCTGATGTCCAGGAGCACAAAACAAATAAAAATAGAAATGCAACAACAGAAAGATTAAACAGCTACTGAAGATATGAAACAATTACTATTTATTTTAAAATATGAAACAATTCAAATCTTGCAGACCGCTGGAATGTCTTTAATCTTATCTGATGTTTTGATGAAAAAAAAAAATCAAGAAAGTCAGAAGAAAAATAAGATCTGTGGTTCTGCAGATTAGAGCACAGAATAATTCGGCTCTATATGAAGTTAATCTTTTCACAAACTTCCAAAACATAAGAAAAACATAGAAGCAGCTCACTGTATTACATAGACATGTACCATAAATATAAATGTGCAGTTTGTGTTTTCTGCTGAATATAATTAGTAAAAATCAAAAGAATCTGAAGGTATGATCCATGTTACTGCTGGTCTGCTCATTCTAGACCTTTATTCTGCTGCAAATAAGATACTGACGACTGACATGAACTCCACAAAACCCCCAGAAGAATCAAGGCTGTCGCTTCAGGGTGATATTAACTGGAATCAGTGAGCTGAGTGGTGAGTCCGATGTTTCGAAGCCTGACCGTTTTCTCCCTACCTTGTCTCCCATGTCGATCTTGGTGAAGCAGAAGGAGCTGAGATGGGGGTTGGCCCCCTTCACAGCCGGCTCGATGGTCTCCCTGAACAGTTTGTCCACAAACTGGCAGATGAACGGCCACATCTGCTTCACCGTCTGAAGCAAAGCAGAGGGAAATGGAAAATTCACTGGAAAACTTTTCTTCAGGATAAAGAGTCAACCCCAAGGATCTTCAGTCATATGTTCATTTTCTTTTACGAAGAGAGGCTGCACAGTAAGTAGCAGACACTATGTAATATGCCTGCTACAGTAGCTTCTTAATGTGTCATCATCTTCTTTTGCATTTATGCTCAATATTGTTTTGGTCTGTTACATAAAATCCTAATCAAATAGATCAAAGCCTTCAGATTTAACATGACAAAATGTGGAAAACTGCAAGCAGTGTGAATACTTTAGCAAAACTTTGCATCTTTGTAAATGCCTTGATGATTTCTTTACTTTGGCATTTATAAAATAAGTTCTCAAGTTTAATTTGTTTTAATACCTTTCATCGTGCAGTTTGCACCTAAACTTTTAATAACAAGTACAGAGTCCAATAATGTTATTGATAGAAAGTTTTAATGCTTAAGGTTCGATAGCATGTCTGCACTTATTGGGTGGAAGAAGAAAAACAACTAAATCATTCCACACTCTGTCATCCTGCAGGAACATCTCAAGTAAGTTCTGCTGATGGTGTAATTTAAGGAGATTCTGGAAATCTCCTCTGAGTGCTTAAATTACACAACATGTATAATTTAGCATCACCATCAATTTGAGTGTTTGGGTGGTCAACATGGAATATTCTGGAAAGAAACAGTTACGTCAGCGAATCTCTTCCAGGAACTGATCAGATTCTCATGTCTGTAACTGGGATGAGGTCCCTCAGGGCTCCGGGTTCAGATCCCTTTTGAAACCCTATTTTACCTCTTTGGCTTGCTAATAAGAGACAATGAGGAGTAATTGGTGGATGTCTGTGTGTGCTGGAAACATCAAAAAAAAAAAAAAAGTTTCTATCGGTACCTTATTGAGCCACTCCACTCGCTCCACATCTGGATAGTGAACCTGGAAGGAAACACAAAGGTTAAAGTTAGAATCAATAAACTGCTGGTCCTTCCTGGACCTCAACTCTTCAAAGTCTCTGTCAATATTTGTTTGTCTTGAACTCATCTGAGTTCCAAGACACAGTGACTCTGTTCACATCTGGCAGCATCATCTGTTCCAGACAATCTGACACATTTGGAGGACGGTTTCCCTCCTGCTACTGATCTAATGGATATCAGTTCAGCATATCTTCAGATGGTTAATGTGAAATCTGTGATTTTGTAATATAAAAAGATTTTAAACAATCATTCAAAGAAAATCCCGTCTGTTTCAAGAAGAAACATTATGGTGATGCTTGAATAACAAAGCAGGGATGTACCAACATAAAAATCTAAGCTGATACTTATTATTGCTGTTATGGCCGATATTTACCAATATGATTTATGTCCTGCCCCTTCAACACCATTTAAAACCATGCAGGTCATTGTTTTCAACTAAAGTAAGAAATGTCATCCAATGAAGACTTTATTTTGAACTTCATCCAAAGGCAAAAAGTCTTTGCTGTGATGACTAACAATAAATCTTTTGTTAGGCAGCGACTGACCTCTTGCATTGATAAGGTGAACTGCAAAAATCCAGAATTATGCAGCATCTTACTCGTTGCTGATTTAACTATTCTAGAAAAAAAATTATCTCCTTTCTCTAGAATTTAAAAGTAAAATCCAAATCCTTGTGATATGTAGAGTCATGATGCTCAGTTGACAGCCAGCCTAATCATAGAACTCTCCCAAAAAAAACACTGCGGTTCAGCGCCGGGGCTTGTGGGATATCTGTGACAGGCTGATCACACTTCCAGAGTCTGACAAGCTGCTTGTGCAGCAGCGGCAGAGCTGCAGTAGACAGCCAGGAGCGACACGGCTGTTACATAACGCACACACTGACAGGAACCCTCACAAATTTATGTTTATAAGCGAGAAGAAAAATGTTAAAAAAAAAGTAATTTATTTAAAACACCCCGCCCAACATCCCCACACGTTAGTCTGAGATGCAACTGGCCTTTTCTTTCCTCACTTCAGCATTCATCAGAGACAGACGACATATCAGCCGATGTTTGCCATGTTTTATATCAATAACCGATAGCTATTTCTATCTTGCAGCTGGTTTCTATTTCTGGAATTTTCAACAGAAATTATTAAGGATAATTGTTCTTAAAGCTGATACTAATGATTATATTAGTAATCCATCATTCCTGATGATGATAGATATTGGATTTTTAAAAAATGGCACAGTCTACAGATTTGTAATTCTTTTTTACACAACATTATGAATGCATAAAAAGATGCATATAAACAAATAATTCAATCCCTTTTTTAAAGGAAGAAAATGAATAATTTATTGCCTAAACTGAAATAAAATAGCACATCTTTAGAGAATCTGCTATATACACACACACAAACACACATACAGATATATATATATATATATATATATATATATATATATATATATATAATATATATATATATATATATATATATATATATATATTTATATAGTTTTGGCTTAATTAGTTAATGATTATTTCAACAATCAATTCATTCTGATTAATTGATTCAGCCCTAATTATTTTGTGACTGTATTTTTTTTCTGAGGTAGAAAGTGTAGTCACAAGTAAAAATAACAAAGTGTCTCAATCAAAATCACCTTTGATAATGAACAGAAGATGTTTATGAAAAGTGACTTAAAAACATAAATTTAGATTAATATTCCTAAAGACAAAGTTAGTCATCTGCTGTTTTTTTTACCTACTTAAAACTGTTAATTGGGCTAAAAGTATACTGCCTGAACTTTAATAACTTTAAATATAAATACATGAATAAAACAATCTGCAGCATGAATCGTCTCTGCAGCTGTGTCAGGCTAACAGACCCAGAGCGACACACGAGGTCAGTCAGGAAGTACATACAGTGTGACTCACATGCACAAAGTCACGCATCCAAACTTAAACAACCTCACACTGACGACATCATCATCACATGGTGATTTTTTTCAGAAATTACATACTAGCCTGTCTTGTTTATTGTGGTGTATACAAAGAAAGCATAGAAACAGTGTAATTGTAAATAATCTATTCATGTGGTATAGAATCAGAAATAATACAAGTCTGTTGAACTTGTAAAGAAAAACACCTGGAAAGTTACAACAAAAAAATAATCTAGATTTAACTGCTGGTACTTTGGTATTTACTCGAATGAAAAACTCACTAAACCGCTGAATGTTTTACAAAAAGCCAAACAGACCTGAATATACAAAGCTAAAAGAAGAAGAAAAGAATTAGTTCTCATTAAATCCAACTGACTCCAGGAGTACAGGGAAGTCAAACATGAGGTAAAATGCAGCTAAATATGCAAATGAAACACAAATCCTTGTGTGTTGTTACAGCGTGTGTTCCTGGAGGTTTATTAAAGGTTAAACATGAGGTGAAGCTGCTGCAGAATGTTAGTTCAGCCATCTGTCAAGCAAGCTGTCTCTGAGATCAACAGACATATTTCAGGTACATGACTAAAATGTTAGATGAGACAGCAAAAAAGTAAAGCTGAAACAACAACTGACAAGCAGTGGCATAAAGTAAACGGCTTATTTTAGGTGCACACAAGACTAAATGATTCAGGTTTAAGAGGAAAATTCAGATGTAAGAACTTCAAATACAGACGTGCAGAAATGATTTTCCCTGACTGTAAATAAAGTCATGTGGAAACGTGATCATCATTTGCTGTTTCTGGATGATTCAAGATGGAAATATGGAGCAGAAGACGACAAAAGCAGGAATTTAGCTCCATTGGTATTAACACAATGCCAAAGAGGAAGGATATCAGCAATAGTCTTTATGCAGCAACTGCTGTGGCCAACCAATGTGAGAAAGGGCTGATGACCATTTCCCACACATGTATTTATAGGTGAGAATTATTTAACAGTCTCTCCATGTTTTCACAGTCCAGCAATCACAGAAATTTATGTAAAATAAACAAACCCCTCAGATTTTTCACAATAAATCACAATCATAGGCTTATTGCTACTTTTCTACAAAACTGCTAGGAAATGTGTTTTTGTGATACTAACTCCCACAATATCTTCTCCAATCGTGAAGCATGGTGGTAAAAATCTCAAAATGTCTCAATAATAATCACCTTTGATAACTGCATATCGAAGTATTCTTGATCTAGAGGCGATCTATGTGACAGGTGAAGTTTGACCCAACCAACTTGTCTGTATAATCTCTGACGGAGCAGAAGAAATAACGTCTGGGAAGTTTTACTGCTAAACGTTGTTGTGTTGTCATCTTGAATAAAGAAGCTTTATGTGAAAATAAAAGACGAGTTAGATGAAGTCCATACAGCTTGATTCAACACGTGCTTCGTTCTTCAGGTTTTAACAGGTAACAACATGTAAATGTGTTTATTTTTCTCCTGCATTTTATGACTAAAAGTGAAGCTTACATAAAAAAATGCAAAACGAATCATTGATTTAACTAGTAAATCTTCCAGTTTGTGTGATAAGTTATATTCTGACTTTTCAGATTTAATGTTAGATGGATAATCTGTAGTGTCCTTACATCATTAAACTTGTTGATGCAGTGCACAAACACGCATTGCTGGATCATGTTTCATGCCTGCAGCAACAGCAGCGCAGACCTCCACAGGTTCTGATTCGCAGAGCTGTTTTCTATCCAACCTCAATTTAAAAAAACAGGATCAGACTTCAGGCAAAACCATGACTCACTGAAGACTGACTGCTAAGACAGCCAATCAGCAGCAAGCTGAAGCATCTCTATTTGTGCTTCTAATGAGAGTCATGCTTCAGCTATGCACCGGCTGAAATCCTACACTTTATTTCAGCCACACCTCCAGCTCAAATACTGAGAGCAAGAGGAAAGGGGGAGACGAGTAAAAATGTAAACTGAAACAAAAATCCCCTCTTCCCAACACAGCGACAGCAGAACAAGCTGCTTACATCTGGTTCACACGAATTTTAAAACTGTCTGGCAATTTTCAAAAACTAAGAGATTACACAAAACAATAACAATATCTTTGTTTGTCCCAGGAATTTGTGTGATGTTGAGTCACACAAATCGATTTCCTTCGCCAACATTCAGATGCCAGACTCTCTCCAAACCTCTCGGGACCAAACGTGACTTCAGGGTGAACAAACATGGCCGACTGGGAAGAACAGTTTTTCTCTATCTTTGACAGAAATAAGGTTACAAATGTGTCTACGACGATCACCGGACTTTCTGGGCCTTCATGACAGTTACTTTGTCCTTTTATTTTTAAATTTCCCTCCATGTTTCCTTCGCCTCGCTTTCTGATTGGTTAAAGATCACATTCAGCTGGCTGCGTTCTTGTTTGTCCTCAGAAATAAAACACACTGCAATATCGGGCAGTCTATCCAACATGTTGATTATTCCCTATTTTTGATCGGAGTGGTCCAGATGTCCTTCCAAGTGGACTGGATCTTAACACACAACATAAATTAGGATTACCTTATTCCCAATAATTTGGGGCTTTCTTATGATTGTCAGAAGGGAATAACGGGTCAAAAATCAAGGAGGTTTTCATCCTAAAGCTGCAAAAGTCAGTGAAACTTACATAAGTATATCTTAATGAAGACATGGTGTCAGCACTTTGCAAAAGTTTTCACACCCTTTGAAATTTGCTGCATGCCAGCCACACCCTTCAGTGTATTGGGATTTTAAAAGATAACGTAGCGCATCACTGTAAAGTGGGAAGAAATTAGAAAAGACTTTTCTTTTTCTTTCTTTTTTTTTATGAAAATGTAAAATATTGTTTAGTCTTTGGCAAATGCAATTGAAAGCATTTTATATTTTGCAGTCTGGAGACTGACATCATCGTCCATTCCTCTTTGCAAAATACCTCAACGCAGGTCAGATTGGATGGAGAATATTCATGAAGATCAGTTTAAGGTTTTGACTCAGATTCAGAACTAGAATATTCTAACATGCA